TAGATGAAGCAGGAGCCCTGCTGGTTGACAAACTGGAGCAAGTTGAGAAAGAGATCCTTGCTAAGACTGAGGAAGTAGCTAATAGAATGGAGGTGGTTGCTAAGAGGAGTTATGCGGACGTATTAGGAGGGCCACGGGGGGGGGCGGAGAGTAATGCAGAATCAGTACAGGTTCTACAGCAGATTGGGACTCTGAAAAAGTGTGTCGAAGAAATGAAAATTAACGCACCTACTGTTAGGGGAGAGGAGGAACACCAGGAACGGCTCCAGCGCAGGAACAATGTAATAGTTTTTGGAGTCCCAGAGAGCCAGGCAGAGGGAACTGTGAGTAAGGAAACACACGACAAGGTGCTGTTTCAAAATATTTGCACAGAGGTTCTGAAGATTCCAGCAACCCCTCAGGATGTGAGGAGACTGGGACAAAAGCAGGGGGCTAAGCCTCGCCCCCTCAGGATCACACTAGGGAGTGAGGAGGAAAAATGGCAAGTTATCCGGCAGGCAAAAAACTTAGCAAGGAGCGAGGCATTTCGAGATGTATTTATTCACCCAGACCGCACGGTAATGCAGAGGGAACAGCACAAGAAGCTCCTGCTGGACTTGAAGCAGAAGAGGGAGGAGTCGAGAAGGAACGGGGACAGGTGCACATGGGTTATACTCAGGGGGAGGGTAGTGGAAACAAGTGTGCCGACACAGGGCCAGGGGGCAGCAGTGCACCCTCCACCCACTCAACCCCCCACCCGGGAGGCGGCACCAGCTCAGCCTACCGGACAGGAGGGAACGAGCGCCGTGTAAACAATGACATTTTTAACCACACCCTGCAAAATACAGTGTACTTAGCAAATGCTGCAGCTTCTGAGAATGTGGGTGGAGCGGGTTTATTACTAAGAGCAGAGACGTTACCGAGAACAAATTCTGGCTTGAATGTCATGTACACTAATACCGACACGTTCCTTGATAAGAGGGAGGAGTTTGAAACACTACTAAGAGTACACCAACCAGATATTGTAGGAGTTGTAGAACTGTTGTACAAGAACAGGAGAATCGACCCAGAGGAATGTGAGTTCAGTATTGCTGGATATGACTCATTTACGAACCTAACTCAAGAATCCTGCAGGAGGGGTGTGGTTATCTACGCTAGGCAAGACCTTAGAGCCAGCCAGGCGAGGGTACAGGGAGAGGATGTTTTTGAAGAGTCCAAGTGGTGTAAAATTAAATTAAAGGGAGGGGACTTACTTATCGTCGGGTGTATCTACAGATCCCCGAACTGTGGCCCACTAAATCAAAGGAACTTAAGAACCTTAATAAACAATGCGGCGATGCTCAACCCCAGCCACCTCCTTATCATGGGGGACTTTAACTATGGCGACATCGACTGGAGAAACGAGTCAACCCCGAATGACTTGAATAATCCTGCTACTCTTTTTGTAGAAACTCTGAGAGATAATTTTCTGTTCCAACATGTGAGAGACCCGACACATTACAGAGGGGAGCAAACACCCAAGCCACTTGACCTCATCATAACAAACGAGGAGGGTATGGTGGCCAAACTGGAACACCTTGCCCCAGTTGGCACCAGTCACCATACAGTGTTGTCATTCAGATTTAACTGTTACCTAGTTCAAGATAAGGCCAGGCCAAGGTGCAAATATTACAAGGGAAATTACAATGGGATGAGGGAAGAGATGAGGGGTATCAACTGGCCTGACTTATTAAGGTACAAGAACGCAGACACTACGCTGAATATCATAACTAGTAAAATGACCCATTTGATCGATAAATATATACCCAAGACCAAACCCAGTGCTTCTAGGAATACGAGGGGATCCCTACACATGAACCATGCGGCGGTCGACAAAATTAAGAAGAAAACCCAGAAATTCAAGACGTGGGTTGGGTCAAACGATGAGCAAGACAGGAGGATGTATGCAAGAGCCAGAAACCAAGCAAAGATAGAGTGTAGGAGGGCTGAAAAGGAGTTCCAAAGGCTGGTTGCACGCGAGGTCAAGTCAAACCCAAAGGCGTTTTACCGCTATGCAAAGTCGAAATTGAAAACGCGAGTAGGAGTATCAGACCTGAGGCTTGAAGATGGTAGTTACGCAGATTCTGACCAGGATAAAGCTGAGGCATTGAACAGCTTCTTTTCCTCAGTGTTCACAAGAGAGGATGCAACTAACCTTCCTGCGTTTGAGGACAGACGGTTTGACACAGCACTGACCCACATTGTGTTCACAGAAGAGGGTATTAGAAATAAACTGTCCAGGCTAAAGGTCCATAAGAGTCCTGGACCTGACATGGTGCATCCTAGAGTGCTAAGGGAGCTGTGCAACGAGCTTGCAGAGCCCCTGAAGATTCTGTTTTGTAAATGCCTGGATGAACAAATGGTCCCCAGTGAATGGAAAGTGGCTTATGTGAGTCCTATCTTCAAGAAGGGCGATAGGCACTCCACGAACAACTATAGACCGGTGAGCCTGACCAGCATAATATGTAAAGTACTTGAGAGTATTATCAGAGATGCAGCGATGGAACATCTACTACGAAACAACCTTGTAAAAGATTGCCAACACGGTTTTATGCCGGGGCGCTCTTGCTTGACACAATTGCTCAAGGTATTGGATATTTGGACCCATATTCTAGAACGGGGTGGTAATATCGACAATATTTACCTAAATTTTGCCAAGGCTTTCGACAGTGTACCCCACGAAAGGCTGAAAATCAAACTGGAAGGGTACGGAATTCGGGGAAATGTCCTAGCGTGGATAGAAGACTTTCTACATGACCGCAAGCAATGTGTGGTGATTAATGGCACGAAATCGTCATCTGTACCTGTAACAAGTGGGGTACCGCAGGGTAGTGTATTGGGCCCGCTGTTGTTTGTTTGTTTCATAAATGATATGCCTGACGTTGTACACTCCTCCATACAAATGTTTGCCGATGACGCCAAGTTATTTCGGGAAATTAAGAACCAAGCGGACTGTGAAGAGCTGCAGAAGGACCTCTGTGGGCTCCAGGAATGGTCGAAGGAATGGCTGCTGAGATTCAATGTCACGAAGTGTAAGAGGATGCACCTGGGGCGTACCAACGGTAAGGAGGCGTACCATATGTCCCAACGGGATGAAGAAAATGTACTAGTTGAGACTGTGTGTGAGAAGGACCTAGGTGTGTATGTTGACAATGAGCTGAAGTTCTCGGGCCATTGTGAGAAGAAGGTAAATCAGGCAAATAAATTATTGGGTCTTATAAGAAGGTCGTTCAGATATCTAGACGGTCCGTCCCTCGTGACGATCTTCAGGAGTGAAGTGCTTCCCCATCTGGAGTACTGTCACCCCATCTGGTCCCCGAGATATGCTAGGGACTGTCAGTTGGTTGAAAATGTTCAAAGGAGGGCCACCAAACTGGTGCCTGCACTTCGGCATCTCAGCTACCCTGAGAGATTGGAGCGCCTGAACTTGCCTAGCTTATACTACAGACGGGCAAGGGGGGACCTAGTTGAGGTTTATAAGCATCTCAGGGGGCACTACTCAGTTGAGTGTCCTTGGAGCTGGCGGACGCTCGCCCCACAAGGGGTCACAGCTCAAGATTGAAGAAGCCGCAAGTCCGGAAAACCGTGAGGACAAACTTTTTCGGAGTGAGCCAATCTTTTGGTGAAGAGGATAAAAGAAAAGGAAAAGTATCAGAGACGTGACCGATCGCCCAAGCGGCTAACGAGCCGATCAGTGGCGAAGAGGACAAAAGTAAAGTAAAAGGACTCACATAAGCCACTTTCCATTCACTGGGGACTTTACGTTCATCAAGCATTTACAAAACAGTATCTTCAGGGTTAATCACATTGCATTATGTTAGGTTAAATTAGGATGACCGAAACTTAAATTTTACCCATTTTTAGGTTGCAATGACGCATTTAAAAGATATTTAGAGTTTTATCTCAACATTAAAGTGTCAGGTATATCGTACGTCTGGCCGTGTGTTCAGCCCTTGATATCTCCTTTGTTTATGTCACCTGTACCAGGCATAAGACATTCTTTATATTTCGGGATTTACAATTACAGGTACAATACATACACCAAATCATCTATATCTCTCCTGTTTGTTTTTAATAATTTTTGCCACTAATCAGTTTACTATCCGTTCGGGCGGTTGGTCTATTCAGTGTTACTTTTACTTTACTTTTATCCTCTTCACCACTGATCGGCTCTTTAGCCGCTTGGGTGATCGGTCACGTCTCTGTTACGCAATGTTGGCAAGTACTGGGCATGCACTGGCTCCTGAATGTACCTGAACCTGCTCCAGTGTTGGTCAAGTCTGGTCTTGAAAGAGCTCACACTCGGTGCCGTCACAACACTTTCTGGTAGATTGTTCCAAGAGTTCACAACCCTCACTCCGAAAAAGTTTGCCCTCACAGTTTTCTGGACCTGCGGCTTCTTCAATCTTGACTTATAGGTCTTTGGGGGTAATTAATTGACTAAAAGCACAGTATATAGTATATACCATAGGTGGAGAGGAGTACAGTAGACGAGTGGTGGTAGGCTGATCAGATTCATTTTAAAGCTAAATTTAGCATTTTTTATGATTTTCATTTAGTTAGCGTAAAATCTGTTAGAATTTTAGCGTAATTGTAGAAACTACAGTCAAATTTTTAGTAAAGAATGGCTGTGCAGATCTGAATATATGCAGTGATTGAAAAAAAGAGCACAAGAGAAGTGCAATTGTACTGTATGTGAAGTAAAATTTCAAAACAAAAAGTTAGTAAAGTTAGTAATCGATAATCACGCTAATGCAGAGACACCAGCGACTTATGCGTGAAAAATTAGACACCCTAAGTTAATAATATAACTTAAAGAAAATCTCAAACGCGCAACGTAAAAATTACGGACCTCTGGCATCATATTGCACTTCCTCTACAGTCTATAATATGTCGTTGCCACATCATAAAGAATGACGAAGTTTAACGAAGGAGCAATTATTAAGAGATCACTTTAAAATGATTGGCATATATTTAATACCCAATTCCTCGTGAGTGTGTGAAGCCTGGTGGTGTTGTGAGACATTCCTGGCCAGCTGACTGACGACAACACGTGTATTATAGGCTTAATGGCATCATGTTTGTGGTTTAGGATGGTGGGTGTGTGTACGGCAGGTTAATGAGGATAAAGGACGTGTTTTGGTGCTGGAGACGGCAGGAAGAATGACTGATGACACCCTGGAGAACAATGTCTTCTACAGGCGCATTAAGGTGAGATGGCGAGAGATTTCGTCACAGTACAGAAAATCCACAACTGCATTACGACTTTCACCAGGTATTTTGCAGTAAACAGTTCGCTGACAAATATCTTCTTAATTACACGAATAAACGGTATGACAAATTTCACGAGGCGTATTGAAGAGTATAATACTGTATGGTAGATATTTCGTAGTGACCATGCATGGAATGGGAATATACTTCACTTTATGGCCGAAGGTATTATATCAGTTATTGGTTAATATTCGTCCATTGGCTGTTCGCAGGTCCCCGCCATGTTTATCTGAGGCTATATGCCTCACTTAGAGTCACTACCGCCTGGGAAGATAATGGAAGCATAATGTGTTGTCTAATGGAAGACACTGCTGCTATATGGCATCACGAAAATTGTGACCAAGTCCCAGGTTGCTGATCTGTCTTTCTGCCTCATTTACACACAATTGCAGGTTTCAATTGTTTCTCTTACTTGACAACACAACGTACATATAGCGTTTCTCACTATTGATTTTTTTTTCATTTTTGTATTTCTTTTCGTTCTTTACTATTATTATTATTATTATTACAGTGTTATTATTGTGATCATTATTATTTTATTTTACTTTTTATTATAAATTTTATTTACTACAAATAATTATTCCTCATTTCCTCCTCTGCGTGGGTTAGGTTAGGTACCTAGGTTGGTTCCTTTGGTGTTAGGGTCATCTCGTACCCAAGACAACTCGTACCCAAGACAACTCGTACCCAAGATAGCTCGTACCCAACTCGCAAGGAAAATCGTACCCAAGATAGCTCGTACCCAACTCGCAAGGAAAATCGTACCCAAGATCACTTACACCCAATTCAAGAGATAATCCATACCTATTAGTATATATACCATGCATTTTAACTTTATCTATGATTACAAAAAAAGATTGTGTAAATCTTGAAGTAAAGTGCAGTGTAATAGGGAAATGTAATGCAGGCTTTAAAATGGTTGCATCTCATTACATAAGTATGTTATTCCGTCACACAAACATTGCACTACAAGCACATATTTTACACTATGTGGTTTAGAATAACTTTATCGCAATTTACAGATTTTAGGCTTATAGATTTGACAGTTTCAATTTATAAACTGGGCTATGTAAACGTTTAAAATGGTCACAAGTCAACAAAATATAGACATGCCTAAAAACGTAACAATATGTGTCACCCAATATTCACGCTCTTCCTATTTAGAGAGAGAGATAGCAGATGTATTTACTCTTAATTTGTTAAAGTTAAGGTCAAATAATCACTTTTATTAAAAACACATTGCTATTCATATATTAAAATCCACTCCTCGACTTACAACCACCCAGACATACGACCGCCCCAGTCGTACCAAAAATGTTTCAAATTACATATTTTCGAGTCCCGACGTTAGTGATTGCGCTGTGTACTGACAAAATTTTCGTTTGTAATTCCATTTAAAATGGCTGGCATGCTACTAAATATTAATGTTGTTTTCAAGTATGACTCAACCATTACCAATATGTTAATAAGAAATAGCCCAAGTTTGAATGTAAATGGAAGTGGTTATTGTATTCCATGTAGCAAATGTAATTGTAATTATGTAGGACAGACAGGAAAAACACTGCAGCTCAGAATCAAACAACATAAGTACAATATCACAACAGCATCTGAAAGCAGTGCCCTGTTCGTTCATGTTAGGAATAATAATCATCCCATTGCTTGGGAAAAAAGCTTAGAAGTATTTAAATCATCTTGTGTCACAGAAAGACTTCTGGTTGAAGCTAGTTTGATTAAGGAATTAAAATCAATAAACCTTAGTGATGGTCAGTTCAAAACTGATAATATGTTACGTAAATTTATTTGTCAGTGGCACAAGGTTAAAAATGCTTTGAAAAACTTTGATCTAGATGTATGATAGTTATTTAGTGGGTCCCTTAATTTTGACCTGACCTGACTAGTCACGTCACCCCCTTCTCTTAAGCTCCTCTACGTTTGTGTTGGTGTGGAGATTAGTGGATGACATCATTATGACCTGACCTCATGTTTTATAAGGTCACCCTGTATATTTATGCCTCTCTCTGTCCATGTAATCCAGTTGCCTCTGAAGATGTCTTGAATAAAGACGAAAGCTAAGGTGCTCCGTTGTTTCCCTTTTCCCCGTGTGATTTTATCAAGATATACGTACTGTATATATATATATATATACAGTATATATATATATACAGTATATATATATATATATATATATATATATATATATATATATATATATATATATATATATATATATATATATATATATATATATATATACATACATACATACATACATACATACATACATACATACACTCCTCGACTTACGACATACTCGACCTACGACAACCCACACATACAACCCACGTCAGTCGGTACAATCACCCGCACATACGACCGCCGCAGTTGGTACGAAAAATTTTTCAAACAACGCGCTTATTTTCTAGACCGAAACGTTTCCGTCCCGTACGACAGCGTCGCATGGGCTGGGTCGCGTCGCCTCGTGGCTACAGTACCCACGCCGTAGAGCGCTTAGTTGGTGTTTGGCTGTGAGTCAGAATCATTCAAAACACATCAAAAACCAAGGAAAACATAATTTCAACCTAACCTAACCTACCTAAACCTTTCTCGGACGGTGGCAACTTAAAATCCCAAAATTTGCTGGAAGACCGAAACGATAATAATACCTATTTCAGTTTTGGTCACCCGGGCAGTCTTAGGAATTTAACTATTGGAATCTTTATTTTTTACAATTCTAAGACAACTTACATATGCCGGGGGGGGGGGGGCAGTTAGGAGGTTATGTCAGGTCATTTGTAAGGGAAACGTCATAGAAGAAAAGTGTCTTATAATTTTCTAAACTACTTTTTCCAGCAGTTAAATTCCTAAGATTCCCCAGGTGATCGAAACTAAAACTTCACCCTGTCCTAACCTAAACTAACAGCAAACAAACCTTTAAAAACTTCACCTAACCTATAAAAATCCTAAAACTATAAAGCACTTACCGCATTTTTGTTTTAGGTGTTTAATGTGTTGGTGTAGTTTTCGGTGTTCAGATGAGGGGGAGGGATCCACTAACTCGAAAGCAATTTTTAACCTTTTTATAGGTTAGGAAAGGTTAGGTAAGGTTTTCAACAGTGTGTTTGGTGTTCTTTTTAGTATTTTATCCCACATTTTACCTTTACTTGAAAGCTCTATTACACAACCGGACTTGGGCCGCTGGTACACTCTGATTTGCAGCCCATGTACACGGCCATCAAGTGAATTATTGCTCATGGAACTTAGGGAGATATAGAAAAAAAAGATCGTGATGGAGACAGCGGTTCTGTCTGAGAACAGCACTACCACCACAAGGAGTTGTTCGATTTCATTATTTTCTTCCAAAGATGCTCATATCGTTGTAGTAAGTACTTATTTTGAAAAGAGGTGATGGGTAACATTATTCTTTATTCCATCCACGATTTATGGCAGCAACACATAACAATTCTCCCAAAATTTTTGCTTTTATTGCCTTTAGCATGACAAGCTCAACTCGATGAATGAAAATATGCGCTGGATTACTGAACATCTTTCTTGCTAAACTGAATACAAATTCATTCGTTGACTTTACAAACCCACACCCACTAAAGTACTATGGTCATTAAACTGAGTTATTCATATGGGTACTTGATCAGTGGGACCAGGGCCGAATTCAGGAGTGGGCAAAGTGGGCAGCTGCCCAGGGGCCTCCACATATCAGGGCTGGTCGACTTGAAACCACATGAATGACTCCAGTCATGTCTCACTTTTGTGTGTGTGTGTGTTGGGAATTTGTACACTATCAATAAATATATAGTTAATTAAAAATTTCTCAATGTTCTAATTTCCTCAATATAACTGCATATGGCTTCAAAATTCTCCAAAGAAGTGTTCAAATTTCAAAATTTTCCCGGGGGGCTTACAGTGCCCCCCGGAACTCCCAGATGTTTAGGCTCGCTTCACTCGCCACCCCACCCTCTTGGGTAGTTATAATGAGGGGGGCCTCCACAAAGAGGCTGTCCATGGGCCTCCACAGATCTAAATCTGGCACTGAGTGGGACCTTACTGCAGTTTGATGTGCCAGGACAGTAAAATATTGTATTTCTTCTTCAGTAATACAGTATTTTTTATGTTTAATATGAAATTAATTTTCACAGTTTATAATTATCAAAAAAGGTTTTGTATTTAGCTTCATTGATGAGTATCTGGACTAAATCAACCTTTGTATTATATGGTTTTCTGAACCTGAGATATACTGAATATAGATAATATTGTAGGCTGACAACATGTGTCTTTACCATCAGGAGCATTATGGGGAGAAGATGGCAGGATGGTGTGAGCCTAACTGGGTGATCTGTGTGCCTCAACAATCTGCCGTTGAGAATGTGCCACTTACACTTCCTCTTATAGGTAAGTAGGAGGAGAGATACAGCTTTGATATATAAATAACACCATACAGTATATACCGTAGCATCGATTGTTTTCCATCCGTTTCTACACAACCATCGTAGCGACACATTAATTTTTTGTCAAATTTTGCCATCAGCATGTGTCGGATAGTCACATTCGACCCATGGATATACTGTATTCCATAGTTTTCCAGAAAATTCACCAACATTGAGAATGGTATGTTTTTTCTGGTGGTGGGGTGGATATACCTAAGCATTTTATGTTTACTCCTACTACAGTAATATGGAAAATGATAGCTAGTCTGTTCTTAAAATGAGGGTAAAGTACCAAGTTGTTGTTGTTATGATTGTTACTCATTAAACTAAGATGGCGGGAGGGAGGGGGATCAGTGGTCAGGGAAATGATTACCTTCTGATTCAGCTTGTCCTTTTATTTTGAAGTCAAATTACAATTTATATACTGTATTGTATTTCTAATTTTTTTTGTGTGTGCTACCATCACTAGCATCACCTTTGCATTTGGGAGCCATACTGCAAGGGCAAGCACACATAGCAATGCAAAAACACAGAAAGTTCCAAAACCCCTTAAGCACAACGCTGGTGGTACGAGCGAGTAAGCGAGACAGAGATGAGCGGCTTGACGGCTTCTCCAACTGCCACATGGCGGAGGCGGCGCGTTGTTAACCCGCTTATATTAAAATTTTCCTTGTTGGGCAAATTGTTTGGTCACATATATTTTAACACGTACAGTGAGTTCGCGCTTAATGTCGTCCCGCTTGATGTTGTTTCGGTACTACGTCGTTAAACTTAAGAGACCAAAAGTTCGTTTAACGTCCCGGTGATCTGATACTACGTCGTTTTGCGTTGCCACAGACTTCATTTTACGTTGCATCACCCGTTCTCGTCTGGCCGCGCTATGCTCTCTCGGCTTGGTGCAGTCTCAGTGACTCGTCACCCTCCTCCTCTCCCGCCCTCCTCCTCTCCCGCCCTCCTCCGCTCCCACCCTCCTCCTCCGCTCCCGCCATACCTCTCTTCTCCCGCCATCTGCCTCCTCTGCTTCACTACCCACCACACTCGCTCTACCACCTCCGCCCATCGGTGAGTACCAATACAAACTTAGTACCTGTAGTTGTATGTGTATGCATTATTTTCTATGTAAATGGCAATGATTTCCTGGATATGTAATGTATTTCATGGGGCAAAGGGAGGCTCAGGAACATAACTCCCGTATTTTATCTATTTCTTATGGGGAAATCGATCCGCTTAACGTTGTTTCGTATAACGTCGCGTTGTAGGAGCGTAACCCAGACGTTAAGCGAGGACTTAATGTACCTGTATAGTCAAAAGTACGTTGGACAAACCAGTGTTGGGCGAGGGTTCACTGTACTGTATACAGTTATACCTTGGTAGATGTGTCAGAAAATATCCGAAATATAAGGCTGGGAACACAATTTTTTTCCTCTATATTTGGAGTGAAAAAATATAGTATTATTTTCGTCTTTTTTTTCTGCTTATGTTAAAGGCAAAACAATAACAAAGCCAGTGATGTATAAATCACGCAAAACAAAACAATTTCTTGTGGGATAAATTGGTCACAGAATGAAAATGACCAGATACCACGTGAGTGGTCCCATGTGACCTTTTTTGTGGTCACATAAACATGCGTGCATAAGAGGGTTAACAATATAAAATTATGTGGTTAGTTATATAGAAAAAACTCTTCTCTTGCTATGGCTTTATTGTTAATGTATTTTTTAGTTTCAGGTTTGAAATTGTTTGATAACACTATAGGTGTTAATGGGGTTAGGTAAATTGTTCCAGTCTTTTCTAGCTCTAAAGAAGATGTTGAGGAAGTAATAATATAAATACCTGTAAATGTATTTTTATTTTCTGTATCTGATTTTTCAGAGGCACATGCTCTGAAGCAGTACAGCCCAACTGGGTGAGTAGTACAGTCCTTAAGGTTCTTTTTTCCTTATGAGGTCCCACCCACCCAACTGAAAGATGAAGTTACTTCATATACTATTCAAATTAATAATAGTCCAAGTAGTATATTTATTATTAATAATATATGGAGAGAATTCCCAAATATTTTGTCCAGTCCATATAGTACTGGTAGGAGGAAGCGTTACTGTATCAAACAGATGACCACTTCTGATTAAGCTGTTTGGTGAACTTTGTTATCACTGTTCTCATTTATTATTATATCCTGTCTATTAATATACTGTGCTATCAAAAAAGATAATACATGTTACCAAGGCTGATGAATTAGTGCTAGTGTTGTTGGGAGTTCTTAGGGTACAAATAGTGGTTACTATATTAATCCTTTAAGCTCTCTCCCTTCATGATACAGGGTTGCCAGAATCAAATGCAACCTGGGTGTATTATGTTACGGTGTTCAACTTCCACAGTGAGTCCTGTAATACCCATTTGGTTCACAGTGCCTCTATTTCTTTATTCTTCACCTTGGCCTAATATATTGGCAGATTGTAAAAAGCAGATTTATATTATGTCAGAAAGCTTATGTATTTCATTTATTTTTTTCCAGTCAGTATGTGAGTGCCCATTTTGGAAAGGACTTGATATATGAGATAACTGGTGAGGAGCCTCGGGTTATCATCTCCAATGAAGAAGAGGGGACGGAGGTTGTGGTTTCAAAAACAACTGTTCTTAATGAGTACCTGGTCACTATTAAGGTGAATTAAATATAAAATTCATAAATTACTGTAACGTATTCATAAATTTCAGCACAAGACAGATTATAATTACTGTATAGGTATAAGGTGTACAGTATCTCATCATAACTGTATTAACTCATTCAATCATCATAATAGTACAATTGGTGTCTAAACCTAGATACAGTATAAATACTGGATACTGTACCCGAAAAAATTACAGTACAGTGGTGTTTCATATTACGCGCATTTAACTCACACCCATTCAACTTTACGCGCTTAGTTTAGAGGAAAAAGGCAACACAATGAGTGAAGGAGTTTTTTGGCTGGTGGGAGATACTTCCACTCGCGCCTCTCTTGGCCTCAGCTGCCGCGTGTACTGATCAGGAGAGGTGATTTGGGTTGTGTGCCTCTGCCAACTGACCCTTAGCAACAGTCGGTTGGCTGAGGCAGCACATCCCAGCTGAGCTGCAATGCAGTGTGCACTATCTTGTATAATTTTTGTTATTTTATGCTTTCACTATTTTTCCTAAATATTCTCTGCTGAAACAACTTGACAATCAGTGGCAAAGAGGATAAATTAAACTTACAGCAGAGGTGGTTGTGTGGTGTGCATTTAAACTGAAATAGGCCTAACCAGCCGAGTTGCCAGATGCACCATTGACAAACTGCCCACTGCTTCCACAGTATCTCTAGGTTCCTGCTAGGAGAGGATTCCTTAGTATTCCTTTGTTGCCTTCTGCTTTGAAATTGACAATATAAAACAAAGTTATACATTTTGTGCATTGAGCAGGGATAAAGAATTACCTCTTTGCTATTCGGTGTATTAAGTACAATAGTAATTATAAGTTTCCTGTTTGTTTTTGCAGGACAAGGTCATCCATATATTGCTGTTAAACAAATTGCTCAATACTACACAGGACCAAGATGCTGAAGTGTCAAATCACCTCCTCACAACAACAATCACCTCATTTGCTCAGTAAGTCGATAATGTCAATGTTTTTGTCCATGCTCACCATGTCTGTTGTTTACAGTAATCATTGAGTCTCTTTTGCTATCATATCAGTAAATTTATCTATCTGCTTCTCATTATCTTTTCTCAACCCATCTCGCATATGAGTTACTAGGTCCATGTGGCTGATGTCCTGGGTTGGCTTGTTATGGTTCATGGTAGGGAGCTACCATATCTTAATGTGCCATCCAGTGATGTAGACGCACAAGACCATTTTTTTCGGTCTCAGTCTCAGTTGCTTAGATCTTGGTCATCTTTGGTCTCTGATTTTTATTTGGGAGGGATTGGTTAACTGGCTAAGTTTGGATTGATGATCAATTGACTGCACTCCCAGTAATACAGGGTGGAATACTTGATATATGCAGCAGTCATTTTACCACACGAAGGTAAACATCAACCGTTTTCTTTGAAGTGAATTTTAATGCATCTGGTAATGGTTGCAAAATCAGGACTGGCAAGTCTGGTCAGCAATTACCTGTTCAGACACCAACCAAGGTAAAGAACGCCGTGCCCTCTCGTTTATTCTTACAGTTGTCCAGTTACAGAAGGAGGCTGACGGGTGTCATCACCAAAAAAACATCCTAACATGACATAAGGGATTCGTTTGTATACAAACTGGATCTCATAACACATAATATATCACTTAATAATTCACTTATATCAAATATTATTAACTATGCATCTATTACTGATCAATAAAAACAAAACAACAGTTATCTTACCATATCTTGGGGTTATTAACACTAAATTTATAAAACTGGGGGAGGGAAATGCAACATATGTTCCTTCTTCAAGATATGAAATAACGAAGGCAATTTCTACCACATCTCCTACCATAAGATGGATATTTGTATCTAGATGGCAATTCTATTTCACTGATAATTATAATTTACATTGTTCCAGTTTAATTATACTGTACTGTATTAAATATTTTATTACAATTCTTCTCATTACAGTGATCCCTCGGTTAACGAGCGCCTCGGTTAACGAGATTTCGGTTAACGATTTACCTTCCATAAGATTCTTAACTTTGGTTAACGAGCAATCCCTCGATTAACAAGTTTTTTACGAGCCGACTTCAACATGTTTTCGCTTGCATTTGGCGGTCCACCAGCTGTAGTATTAGTCCGCCAATACAGTAATCGGTTTTAGGGCTTAAATTCCTTACTATTTTAGTAAATATCAAGAAGTTTATACTATTCAATAATATTAACTTTTTTAGTCATTTTAACAATTATTGAACATAATTGAAGGTAAAGAAACTAGTTTTTGGCGTGCCATCCAGTCTGTTAACACACCAGACAAGCGTAAGTCTCTCTCTGTTTTCAGTGGAGGTAAGATCTTGCTTGAGACTCACTTCAACTAAACGCTTTTTTTCTGTGTTTCCAAGCAAATTATTGGTCATTTTGAAATTTATTTTACATATTGACAATATATAATGCAGTGCAGTGTTGATTTAAAGAAAATAATCTTGAATTACACCAAGAGAACTAAAATTTTATGGGTGAAATGGTGCCATGGGGTGACTTCTCTTCCACCCCAATGCCTTCTCTTCTCCCTTCTCCTCCACCCCCATTCTAATTCCCATCATCATCATCCAGGAGCCTTCTACATACACACCTCAAAGTAAGTGTACTTTTGTACCTTTTTTGTTGAATTTAGGCAATTTTCGGTGAGCTGGAACCAATTATCCAAAAACCCATTGAAACAATGGTTTCGGTTAACGAGTTTTTCGGTTAACGAGCAACCTGCTGGAACGGATTGTGCTCGTTAACCGAGGGACCACTGTATATTTTTTTCAACTTATTTCAGTGTTTATAACTGAATAAACTTTTCTTAGATATGTTACCATAATAATTACTCAAGCATTCAAATGCACCATATAAACAAGTTGGACCTGACTTAACTCTGTCCACTCAACTACTGTACTACACTCCAAATTAAAAAAAAAATCCTCAGTAACTCCTAGTTTATGAAGTAGTCTGAATTATTTGTAGGTAGTCAATTATATCAAAATTATTATAATTAGTAATCTATTTTGCAATTAACAGTTAAAAATTTAACATTACATATTACTGAGAAAATTACATGTGTATTACAATTACATACAAAATTCAAACAAGATGCAAACTCATTTTCACTCAGTTTTCATAGAATTTCAATTATACAGGACTTGCTCCTTATTTCAAAATGTTCTCCAATCATCTACCTTTCTCACACAATTCCCTAAATAGTGTAACAACCAATGATTACTTCATAATTATAGTGGTTACCTGAACATTGGTTCCCAACTGGTTATACATTCTCTTTCCTTTCAGAGGGATATCAAAACTAATTCTGTTACATCATTTTATATCCCATAGTAAGAATATATTTTAGAACAACAGAAATTCATTTTTTTATGTAACTTTACATAAAATTGATTCAACATCATTACATGCCTCCAATGTCAGGGGAAAACAAATTTCATTGTTCTAATATATCCAGTATACTGTATCATGATACAGTACCCAATATACCAATACAATACAATACACAATATGTATATAACAGGTTAGAGAGCATGATATATCCACAAAAAATTTAAATTCTCTACTTATAATAGCTTCACATATCCTGAAAAAGAATTATTTTGAGAGAGATTGCATATATGCACTCAAACTCTGCTCTCCAAATACAACACAATCAGACTATATATACAGTCAACCCTCGCTTTACACGGTCCCACATTCCGCTTTTCCACGTTTACGCGGTACCCTGCCGAAACCGGAATCCTCACATTCCGCGGTGCGTGTACCCCTTTACGCGGAGAGCGGCTGGCGAGCCGCGCCATTTTTGGATCCAAACCTCCCGCCATCCTCCATGTTGTGTAAGCGGCGCGAGCAGGGTGCGCACAAGGTCGCCCAGTCATCAAAACATTACCGAGTTCTTCACCCGCCACAGCCGGCCCAAGTCAGTGATAATTATAGTGAGGATATGGACTTTAAGGGGTTTGACAAAGAGGCCCTGCAAGCCTCTGTGGTGGATAGTGATACAATTGATACAAGTGATACAGGTGAGGGCCAATAATCTGCCTTCTGCCTTGGAACCAACCCCCCATCCCCGTGTGCCCAGCCATCTTTTCTACTAATGTAAGTGTTAAAAAACCTAATATTATTGATATTTCTCTTAATTATTAATTGTGTGTGCATACCATCATAAAATTAAGAAGTTATTTTTACTACAACGTAGGTATTGTGTCTGAAAAGGTGGAGTTTGGGGGTCGGCCCGGTCTCTATTTCAATTAATCCCATATGTTATGTTGTTCACTTTACGCGTTTCTCACTTTCCGTGGTACCCTGTGGGTTGAGTTAACCGCGTAAAGTGAGGGCTCACTTATATATATATATATATATACAATCAGACCTCGACTTACGATGGGATTAGGGACCGACGACCAGGTCGTAAGTCGAAAATTTCTTTTACATGTATTGTATATACAGTGGGGTATGCTATAACGAACGGATCCTACTACGAATATTCCTATAACGAACGGTTTTACCTATAAAATTGAGAATGCTATAACGAACGAAACTCCTACAACGAACATTATTTAATTTTTTTTTTCCTAATTTATTGTTTTTTTATTACAAATATTAATGATATTCTTTATTTCAGGGGTTTAGATGCATATTTATGCACTTTTTTACAATTTTTACAATTTTATATTATATTTTTTAGTGTTAAGTGGTTGTATTTGGGGGCCTGGAACGGATTAATCCTATAACGAACGGCTGTTATAACGAACAAGGTTCTAGAACCAATTAGATTCGTTATAGCATACCCCGCTGTACAGTGTGTGTGTGTGTGCGTGCATGCGTGTGTCTGGACACACACAAAACACATACAAATTTATAATAATGGAAAAATACTCTCACAAATAATCAGAAACAATTTTATTAAAAATGTAAGTCTACCCTCAAGTCCGTGCTTTATTAATAAAGTAATAATTATTAATAAAGTACAGATAATAAGCACGGACTTGAGGGTAGACTCACATTTTTAAAAAAAAAAATTTCTGATTATTTGTGACAGGATTTTCCATTTATTATATATTTGTATGTGTTTTGTGTGTGTGTGTGTCTACATACACACACATATTTACAGTACAGGCAAAAGAAATTGCTGTCTCCGGAACGAATGGCTCCCTGTCCCAGCCGCGAAAATGCTGGCAACTTTAACACTACCCACAAACATTCTTGGGTACACCCAGGGTGTCATCCCCGAATAATAGAGGACCGCGAAATAAAAGTCTGCGCACTTGGGGGGGCCTTCTGTACAATATATAGTGTTACTGAAACAGTATCTTCAATTTCAGAGCAGAAAGATTCTTGCGCAAGTTCCACTGCCACAGGCCACTCCTTCAAGAGATTGACACAAAGGTGATAGAGGCATCTGAGCACATCCATCCATCAAATGATGTGGATCAGATGCAGAATATATTGCAAGATGTGCTCATACACTGCTGGGAAACCCTCCTTAAGAAACATTCCCCCACTCTCCAGACACATACCACCTTCCAGGATTTACTTTTCAGAGCATTGGATTAGTAAGTATTGTACTTCAATCACTTATTGTATTTTGTTGGTTGTGCTGGAGTTGGTGGGTAACAGAGGAGTTATGCACGCTAGATTTTTCAGGAAAAATCCATTGAATGTATTGCATTAATTTAACCATGTACTCAGTGCTATAGACACCAGACTTCATGGTTATGACTGTTTTATTCAGATAATAATGCTTTGAAAAGTAGATCCTTGTACCTCATTATTTGATGACTTTAATGCAAAACTGCTTCACCCACCAGTCTTTATTGGCATAATCATTTAATCTGTTGAAACATATTATCATCTCTGTAAAAAGATCTCTCTAACCTGCTGTTTAGGAAATATATGTTACAGGATGCTGCAATCCTTAAATATCTTGTGTATGATTATCAAATGGTGTTTAATTGCCTACATGAAAAACATATCACCTTGACAAACTTTTGGGGAAATATAGGTCAGATTATGTGTTACATACAACCGTTGTTCTTTATTAACACAGCACACTGCAGGAAAGATTCATTGCCTTGTTGAGTTTATTATTACAGCAAGTTGCTTATTTATTCTGTGTCAATTAAGTGTCATTAACAAGTTAGGGAACAGTTTTCTATATAAGTGATGCCCATCCAATAAAATGTTCTTTTTGCTGCAATAATTGCTGAAAAATTTAAACCATGCACAAGAAACAATGTTATTTAAAGGGGCCTTTGTTATCCTAGCTTAATAGGGACTAGAAAAAAGACTTGGATGGTGATTCCACAGATAAAGGGGAATTAGTTCCCATAAGAATTAATAGGAATAGAATTTAATCGGGACCATCCCACAAGTGTGATACTCAAGAAGTTTAATTTTATATCTTTTAACGTTTATGAATATTAGAAACATTTGTCAAACATTTGATTACACATTATTTTATGAAATTGTTTAACTTTATAACTTATTTAAGGCACATGTACTTAAATTTGTTTGGGGTCGCTGTGTTGATGTGATGCAGGCTACCTAACCATGTGATCAGCCAACTGCACATTCACACACCCATTTCAGTGAAAGTTGTTCATTGTGACACATTATTAAAATGAAAATAAAATATAATTAAAAAATAAATATAAAATATTAAAAATAAATATTGAGGAATAATATTCGTAGAGATTGTGTGTAATTGCATAGCCGAGTCAAGACTCACCACCCAGTAGCACTCAGATCGGTTGAGGCTGAGCTGTGAGCTATGTTGCTGTTCAACTCGTAATTTCGGGTAAATATGCATAATTTTCTTCATTTTCTTTGACTCTGTTACATGCACACACGATCCTACATACAGAATGAGCAAAAAAATTAATAAGAATAAAACTAATTTTCATCAGGTCAAAAACTTAAAGATAATAAACATTTCTTACGCCTACAGCAGTTAACCCACGGGATGGGGGAGGGGAGAGCTGCGTGGGGATCTCTCGGCTGTTCTCTGTCTCGTGTCCCGTGAAATGATTGCAAAATGGCAACTCAGTATTTTTCTTTTATTTATTATTATAATTTTTTTATTTACTCCTCGCATTTACTGGTACGATATACCTGCGACACAGTTCATCCGGGCAGTCAACAAGCTGACTCAAGAGATGTGTGTGGCTTCTGCCTGTATGAATTGAATTGAAACGGTTTATTGGCAGATAAATACAGATACAGAGTGGATAATAATAACAATATTAACATGGCTTAGCCAGTTGAGAACCTGAGCTCTCTTTGAGGCACCTGATATATACTGTACATTTATCTCAAGGAAGTATTATGTAACATTTAGTATCATCTGGAATAGTACACATAGCATGGTGGTAATAAGATTATCTCAGAATGTTACCACGGTTATCACTTCAATATCATAAGGTGATGTAACATTGGAGGGAGGGAGAGTGCAGCTGGCCACAGTTACAGCTCACTGCCTCAATACATACCATATATTCACTTCCCACATATACTGTACACATACTGTACAGGGATACCTATACACCACTGTGTTTCGGTTTGGAACTCATGGCTCCAAAAATTTCCACCAATGTCACCAAAGGCGCCATAAAGTAACGAAATATCCCTGGAGCACGATCAAAACAAAGCTTGGGGACGCAGGTGACTGTTACTGCACATGCGTGGCGCGGGTGAGAAGGATGAACTTTGAGAGAATGAGTCGGGTGGGAATTTCAAACGCTTTTGCTCTCGACTAATGGATTTCATCCTTGGAATCCTCATAAATTCGGGGAATTTTTAGGTAGAGTTCTGCAATAATTTGGGCGAGTAACTGCGGATCCACAAATTATGAATATGTAGATAATGAGGACCCCTTGTAGTAATGTTGCAGCCAGCTGAATGCTCGAGGCAGCAATACTGCACTTTCAGCTGCTGAACCCACGTCAGTTCACATGTATGGTCATATAGAGAACATTGAGTGATATTCTGTCTTTATTCTTTTTGCTTCAAATCTGTTGAACGACCCATAACCATGAGTGGAAAACATCCTGCATGAGTACCCAGTATCTATATTTATTTAATTGTCCATTTGTGCATTTTTTATTTTTTCAGTACAGTATCCAATTGTTTCATAAATTTCTGTAGTATTTAGTTCAGTGAAGTTTAAGTTAGGTTATGTCTGAAAATTTGCCCCTGTGTCTTATTAAGGTGGTCCTCTTTACGTTTCATTTTCCAGGAGCACAATTCTGATGTAAATTGGCAACTGATGTGCTCATCTTCATTATCACTGTTTTAAAGTCGTTTTCAATGCATGAGTGGGTGGGTTATCTGTGGTTGCTTGATGGCAGCTTTCCATGCTGTTGCAGTCTCTTTCAGCCGCTCTCATTAGGTTCTTAATTCTAAGGTCATATCTTACAACCATTCCACATTTCATTCAAACTCATGCTTATCTTGACCCAATTGGTCTCCTCCACATGTCCGAGCCTTCTCGACCTATATCTATTATGCAAAACCTTGTCAATACTGTCAATATCCAGTTGCCTTCTTAGCTCTGAACTGGGATTTCTAGCTTTCAGAGTTCCATTTCAGAAGCATCGCATCATTCTGATGAGAGAGGCTCTATGAGATTGTGTAGCGTGCAGAACTGCTATCAGGTAATCATGGTTAACCCACTCAAACATGGAAAATGGCTGTAAAACAGTGATGATGATGACGAATTCTGGCCACTGATTTCAGGGTCTGAGATTGATAGTTTAATGAGTGCATCTACTCGAGCATCCAAGTTCCTGGTTCAGGCATGAATTAGGATTCCTGGATCAATATTTCCTTTCAGTGCACTATTTTTGTCTGGATATTTGCCCAAAAAACTTTTTTCTACAGCTATGTATTGGGTCGACTGCATGAGATGTTGTGGTGGCTAGTGTGTGAGCGCTGTCAAGTGGTTGATCAATTGGTTAAGACAAGATTATCTCACCTGCGCCATGCTAACCTTTCTTCTCTCCAGCTTGGTGTTCCTGCCAACTACTACACCCCTCTTCCTGCAGCAGTAAGTTAAGACTCCCTTTGATAGACTAGATTTATATGTCTAAAACCAGGTTGCTTGTATCTAAGTCATACTTATCTGAATTATTATTATTATTATTATTATTATTATTATTATTATTATTATTATTATTATTACTATTATTACTGCTACTTTATTTTTTTTTTTTTTTATACGTGGCCTCAAGCCTCCCCAATAGCCACACCCACTCGCCGCCATTTTATTACCTTAATATTAAATATCCTATTTAAGTAGCTATCCTATCTGTGTTGAATTAGTTGAGCCGCAGATCTGTCATTCAGTGACTGTAGCCTCATAGTCAATATCAGCAGCAGTTGTCAGTTTGGGGCAAGCTCTCGTTCTGAGGCAGAGCAAAGCCGACTGAAGGAGACAGTCGACATCTCATCCAGGCTGTAACATAACTTCTGGGCTGCTGCTTCTGTTCAGAGATCATCTCTGCTTAGTCTGGCGTGAAAACATCTTGCACTTGGTCCCATCCACCAGAGGTTGTGAACACTATAGGAGTGAAGCTGCCTTGATCAAGTTTTTGATTCTCTCCCCATATGCCCTTATCTTGTCGTTCTCGTTCCTCCTGTGTGCAGCATAGGGGCTGGATTCTGATGACATCGACCATGGGATCAAAATCCTGATGTCGAAGAAAGCTCGCTGTCCCAGCGTCCAGAATCCTCGAGCACTGGCGTCAACACGGGCTTCGTTAGATGTGTTGAAGTCTATGTTGGAAGATCTCACCATCAAAGGAAGGAGGGTCGGTTCTACCATGACATCCGCAGATTTCTTCAACATATTTGCTGTGAGGTCCTTACGCCGTCATGCCTCATGCAGAAGCCCATTTTCTTTGCAAACTGGCGTGATCGGCGTCATAGGAAAAGCCACACTGCGCATTGGGAGGGCAAACCTTCTACTGGCCGACTGTACCTTGATAATGGCATCTGTAAATTCTTGTTTATTGAGACTGAACCCATTTGCCCTTATCGTGGCGTAGTTAACAGTTTGAGGCGCCCACCTCTCTCGCCTATAGCTACTTTTTTTAAATTTTTTCTGGTACCTGCAGCAACAGTTGCTGCAGCTTATCATTTGGCAGTGCTGTCGTTCTGCTGTAATGGACCTCTGAATCTTGTTTACTTCACTGGTATCCTCTTTTGCGTACTGGGCTATTATGTGGTCGTGAGTGCCGTGAGCTTAAGTGAATTTTGATGTTCGATTGCTACTACTCTGCTACTACTCTTACTACTACTACTACTTTTTTTTAAGTGGCCTCCACTCAATAGCCACACCTTCACACCATTTAATTACCTTAATATTAAATATCCTAATACATAAGTAGCTATCCTATCTGTGTTAAATTAGTTGAGCCGCAGATCTATGTGGCATTCAGTGACAGTAGCCTCATAGTCAATATCTGCAGCAGTTGTCGGAGTTAGGGCAGAAGCTCCGTTCCCCTGAGGCAGAGCAAAGCCGACCGAAGGAGAGAGAAAGACAGTCAACATCTCATCCAGGCTGTAACATAACTTCTGGGCTGCAGCTTCTGTTCACAGATCAACTCCGCGAGTCTGGCGTAGAAACATCTTGCACTTGGTCCCATCCCACCAGAGGTTGTGAACACTCACTCACACAGTGTTTTTTGTGTTAATTTTATGTTATTGTACAGTGGGATCTCATTTTATGCAGATCTCGCCTGAGTGGTTTGGTGTTTTGTGTTATTCTGGAAGTACTTCATTAGTTAAACCCTTTACATTACAATTCCAAGAGAAAAGTATATTTTGGTTGAAAAATCGCTAAGGCATAAGGCCAAATATTTTAGCGGTTTGAGCCCAAAATTAAATTTTATTTAAAATCTCAGTACTGTATACAGTAGGTACTCCTGAGCATTCTGATTCCGAATCTATGGTCCACGATTCAATTACAGGGTAAATAGTTGATGTAATGATGCTTGGAATATTTTAATTAAATAATTTGAATCCTAATTACTCGCCAACTATGGATTGCCAAAGTGCAATTTTCGTGTTTTGTGTTATTCTGGAAGTGCTTAATTGAACCCTTTAAATTCCAATTCGAGAAAAGTATATTTTGGTTAGAAAAATTACTAAGGCATTAATATTTTGGCAGCTTCGGCCCAAAATTTGAATTTCTTTAAAATCTCTATATAGGTACTCCTGAGCATGCTGATTCTGAATCGATGGTCCACAATTTGATTGCAGGATAATTATTGGTCATAATGACACTTGGAATATTTTAATTACGCTTGCAATGCTAATTACTCGTCAAATATGGGTTTTAATTACTGTACTGCAACTATGGGTTTCCAAGGTGCAATTTTTGTGTTTTGTGTTATTCCAATTCTAAAAGAAAAGTATATTTTGGTCAAAAATTACTAAGGCATAAGGCTTAACCCTTAAGCCCCGGGGTAGAGTGCTGCTGGTAGTACCCCCCAAGCAGGGATAAATCGAGAAAAATCAAAACTTTTAAAAATAAATTTTAACCATTTTAAATGATAAAACAATAACAAATAAGTAAGAAAAACTATATTGACCCTCTAGAAACTTCCCTGGCAGCACTGAGGGAGGGTGTAGGGAGGGATATAAGGGGACAGTGTTTTGACAGCCGAGCTCGTGGTCACTTACGCACTTACCAGCTATTTTTAGCTTGCCTTTGTGTCTGAGATGGCCAATAATGCATATACAGTATTTACTGATCATAAAACTTATTTTCTATAAATAATTCATTTAGAATATTTTATTTGCATTATTTTTCATAAAAAAAAACTTGGCATGGTCGGTCTCCAGGCTGCCTTTGTGTTTGGTAGAGCAAGTAATGAATAAAATAATAATTCCACAAATAAATACATTTATAACATAATCATAGCATTATTTTCCAGTAATACTACACTATAATACAACTACACTACTTTCAGCAATATTATTTTGATACAACATGGTAAAATTGACAAACAATGAAAATGAAACAGTAAGTAATTATGTTCAGGAAGCTTCCCTGTATTAGCGTGTGGCGAGGCAGGCAAATGGTCACACTGGATCTCGATAACCCAAAATTAGATTTCCTTTGAAATCTCTGTATAGATTCTCCTGAGCATGCTAATTCCGAATCTATGGTCCTCAATTCGATTATGGAGTTGGGGAACATAATGACGCTTAGAATATTTTAATTACACTTTTCAATGCTAATTACTCATCAACTGTGGGTTTTAAATACTAGGCAACTATGGGTTTCTAAAGTGCTATTTGTGTGTACTCAATTAGTTAAACCCTTTAAATTCCATTTCTAAGAAAAAAGTATAGTTCGGGTGAAAAATTATTAAGGTGATTTTGGCCAAAAATTAGATTTCATTGAAAATCTCAGTATAGATACTCCTGAGCATGCTGATTCCTAATCTATGGACCATGATTCGATTGTGGGGAGTATTGCATAATTAAATTCCTGGGCTTTCTTAAAATAATTATTTCATACTGTAGATGTAGTTTGTGACATGTGTAATTTGGGGAAGGTTAAATTGGTTACCCAAAGTCATTGAAGAAATAAAGTTCTGGCGAATCCAATACAATATACTGTAGTAATTTTAAAATTTTAAGAGCATCGCGTGTGGGATTTTATGCGCGAACTTTTACGGTATGATATACAGGCTGTCCCCACCTTACAAACATAATTGGTTTCGGAGATTTGTTCATAAGTCCGAATTCAATTCTATTGCTTGCAAACAGTCTGTTAAATATGAAAAATACCTCATATACAGCACACCCACAGCACAGTACACCACCATCTGACATTGATTTTGGTATTCCAGCCACAAACACAGAAGTCTTTTCTATCTATTATGCATTTTCCCTTTTCTTAATTTTGATGGTCGATTGTATAGCCACAGTCGAACAATTCAGTCCAAAAGCACGAGCCACATTTGTCATTGTATCACCTCTTTCAAACTTGCTTTATAAGTGACACTTTGCCACTTCAGTTTCCATTGTAATTGTATGTCTTTTCTTACTTGCACTCTCATCACTAGCACTACCTTAATCCTTCTTGTACTTATAAGGGTCAATAATGTTCGTAAACCACAAAACAAACTATCACCGCCGTAATGCTGCGAACAAGACAACAACTAAAATGGCTGCCACTTGCCTGGGAATGCTGGGAGTAGCGCACTACGCCAACTATTGAGCATGGGTAGAACTAACGATATGCACTTTAGCAACAAACAGAAATTTGGACATACAGACAGGCTTGTTTATATGTATGAAAATTCATAAGTAGAGGAAAATTATACCTGCACAAAATGAGACCGCACCATACAGGGGTAGTTATTTTTTTTGCATTCATACATGGAGTTTTCCTGTACTGTATATAAAAAATATGTTGCTATAAAATAAGAAATATGAAGAGCATTGGTGTGTGTGTAAAATGAGTGTGTGTGTTGACTTGGTAGGTTGCCAAGTTAGTTGTTCCCGTAGCTTCATTCCCCTACCTCTCCTTTCGCCAGGTGAAACTGTTATTGTTAGTTTTCGACTTCTAATTTTCAAGTAAATAGTCGGATTATTAGTTTTGTTCATTTTCTTTGGAGTTATTTGAAGTAAAAAATAGTATAATGTACAGGTGAAAAAAACATCATTATCCTTGGATCTTTGATTTTCAGGTGGTGGAGTTGGCATCACTGCCCAGTGTTGAGAGTGCTGTTGGGCGTCTGCAGTGCATCAACTCTACCATTGACCTTATCCAAGCTCAGGCCAAGGAAGCAAGAGTTAATCTGCACCAGTACAAAGATCAAGGTGCAGAAGTGAGAAATGTACATGCTTCAGAGTGTGTACATTTGTGAATGTGTGTATCTGTGTGTGAATTTCAGCAATTTTATGATTTTGTTTATATTTGTGTGCGTTTTTGTCTGTCTGAGTGTGAATTCATTAATTTTTTATTGATTCTGTATGCTTTAAAAAAATAACTCATAAATTGCTAAATTCACAATGCCAGTGTTGTGCAAAATCATATTATGTAGTTTACAAATTATACATTTCCTTTCTGTCCTTCCTTGCAGAGGGCGAACCAGAATTACTTCTAAGTACAGAGGAGTTGGTGGCCTTGTTAACAACAGTAGTGGTACAAGCTCAGTGCTCTCACCTGGTTGCCAATATCTATTACATGACCCACTTCGTGTTCTCTGTCACTGAGGAGGATCCACTCTGGTATGACATGTGCATGTTTAGAAATATGTTGGAATAAATTATACATACAGGCAGTCCCTGATTTACGAAGATCTGGTTTACAAAAATCTGAAATCACAAAAACTAATTTTTGTCCCATGTTTCAATTTATGTTTGAAAAATCTTTAATTATATATACCTGTATATAGTACTGTAATATCCCTGTTAGCTAGAATAATTGGTGCAGATTGGTTCTGGGTTTAAGAGATTTCTTAATGAGACATTTTATTATCCCAGGGAAAAATCACACATCCCTGGAAATTTTCTGGGTACTGGTTAATGTTTCTACTTCAAACTGTGCATCTCGCACGGAGCAGCTTAACTGCAGTTGGACAGACACGGCTGTATTTATTTATGCAAACACTACTGTACATTATTCTGTATATTGTGAATAAACAAAATATACCACTGTATACCTAGCTGCCACATAAAATATTCTATTTTCTATTACTGTGAAAATATAAATATTTTTTAAATGTACAGTCTCGTTCAAGATTCTTGAACACTGCTGGAACCAGCTGGCTCAAAAGCCGTTTGTTTATTATAGTATGTAGTATAAATTATGAATGAATGTAAAAGGTTATCATTTGATTGGTTACTTAGTTCCCTGTTGCTTAATTAATGGTTGGGCTTTGTTGTTTCGTATTATATTAAACTATGTACTGTAGTAAACAAACAGTCTTGGGTTGCCAGCTGTCTCCAGCAATGAATCTTAACAGACTCTAATACAGTAATTACAGGGTGTCTACTGGTCTAGAAAACCTGAAAAAGGGGCAGGGATTTTTATTTGGGGCTAGAAAACCTGGAAAAGCCAGGGAATTTCACAAATAAACCTGGAATTTTATGTGAATTCATTTCAACTTCAAAATATTGTTATTTTGACAGCAATCTTACCTTAAATTAATGATGTACTATATAATCGGTAAAATAAAAACTTTAAGGAACAAATTTCAGTAAATAGTTCACTCCAGTTCAAGTAACCCAGAGCCCCTTCTTGGTCAAATTAACAGTAAAGACCCAGAAAAAGAAGCTGATGCTTGGTGAGAGCAAAAAGATGGGAAGCTGGGATGAAGTTTGCATTAAAAGTAAAGGGGATGGATATTTGTGAAGCAGACATGTGTATGAATAAACAGAGAGCATGTTGTTTAGTGGCTTTTGGGGATAACCTTGCTGCTGATGGGTGATGCTAAGTTTTGTGAAGGTTCAGGAGTAAACCAGATTATTTAGATATTTAGGGCATTAATTGTGGAAAGGGAATACTATAACAAAACATAGCTGCTACTAAGAATATGAATGACAGCAACTGAAGTGAGAGGTTGATTTTGCTTTTAGATCTGGCCACCTGCATTATAGGATGAAAGTGCGAGGGAGAACTAAAAATAAAGTCCTTGGTACTCTTTACACTCTTAGCACAACTCTTCCCCCATAAGTTTGTCTTTCTTTGAGTTTTGTGTACCCCCTTAATCTACTCTGCATGGATGGATTGATTGTGGTAATTACATTCCTGGCGACTCTACAGCTCCGTAGGTCATATGTCGCCGAATTAAATAAAGGCTTAAAAGACTAAAATCAAATAATGCAGTAACCATAAGTAATGAATAACATAGAATTTTTGTAAAAAAACATTTAAATATAAGTAGATGAAACTCGAAGCTTGTGTAAAAGGCTGGATTCCTCCACAAAGGGCAAGACGTCCTCCCCTACCACTCCCTCCCCCAGCACCATAAAAGTATAAACTAAACACTAAGTATACAGTACTGTATAAATATTGTTGTGCCTAAAAATATTTCAAGGTTCTCTCTAACTCTTTGGTACAGGAAAAGCCTTGGTCTCCTGCGACTCACACTGGAGAATATAATGAAACTAGATGTGGCTCGTCTTCCACCGGCCAACAAGAACATGCGAAAGGAGCTCTCACTTCAGGACCTCATGCAGGTACTGTAACAACATTTTATATCATATGTCCTCAGTTTTTCCATCCTTGTGTGATAATGGATTAGTTGACGGTCGGAATTTTTTCGTAAGATGGCAGGTTGATGGGAAACCAACGCTTAAATTCACTGTGGTAATGATATTTTTAAATAAATTTGTCAAAAAAGTGTCAAAAATAAGGGTTAAAGCTGCTAAAATCCGTGACTGCAAACAGCTCTGTGATTGGTTGGGGTGAACTTCCCGAGGAGGCAGTCAGCTAGCTGTAGTTGTCCAACTTTCACGGCTGATCGGCTCAGTAAATAAATGTTATTAGATAATTAATTGTGCTTCATTGTGCGACACAGTAATACTATTTTGAATATACAGTGGTCCCTCGGTTAACGAACGGTTCGATTAATGAAATTTCGGTTAACGAATTAGCTCCCATAAGGATCTTCAATTCGGTTAACAACAAAACTCGATTAACGAAATCCTTACGACAAACACGTTTTGTTGTGAGCATCAGCTGATCAGCTAGTCCACCAATACAATAATCTGTTCTATGTTTACATTCGTTTCCAGTGGAGTAAATATTAAGAAGGTTGTGTTCTTGAATATATTTGCAATGTCTATATTAAAATTATTGGTCATTCTAAAATGTAGCCATCCAAGCTCTGTCTATATAAAAGTTTTCAACTTATATTTTTGGCTCAATTATGTAACTTTATTCATTTATTGATATATATATATATATATATATATATATATATATATATATTATATATATATATATATATATATATATGAGATGCCTTAACACTATTTACATTTTTGAATCTATTTACCATAACATAGTGGTTAAGTTTTGTTTGCTTATCGACCTGCCATCTTGAAAAAATTCTGACAGACCAACCATCCAAATCGGGCTGTCATTGGACGTAAAGTCATAAATGCAAATAATACAAAAAATCTAAAATATTAGTTAAAATCAATAATGAAGAATGAATACAGGTTACTGTTTCTTTAAGTATAGATCAGCTGAACACACGGACCCCCATAATTTTTAATTAAACATGGAGACTACATTAATTGATGAAGCATAGAAAGACAGGGCTGGTGGGTCATCAATATAAACTTTTCTTAGACAGGTTAACAAGGATACTTACTTGTTGAGGTATTAGGTCATCTTTAGGGAGTGAAGAGGCAGCACTGGTGGGGCATGAGAAACAGCAATGGGACTTCTTAAAATATATGTCCAATTTAGACTGCACAGGCTGCCATTTCTTTTCAATGTAAATCTCTCCTGTAGCAAGAGGCATCCTATCATTCAATTTTTGTATCAAAATTTTTTTGAAAATTCGGGTTCTTCTTCTACATTTTGACTCTCCTTTCCTCTGACAATTTTCTGTGCTTCTAGTTCAATAAGATCCTCGTTACTTAGCTCTTCTGCCATACTTTCAACCAACTGCTCAACATCTTATTATCAATTTCTAATACCAGCTGTTTTCAACTCCACTATATTTATACTAATCTAAATTACCTTTATCTTCATTAAATCTTGAAACTGTTCACTTATCTTTTGGATATTTCAATAAACTCTAATCCATCTTCAGCTATGTTTTAAAAAAATGTTGTAGTCCTTCCAAAACTCTCTGAGCATTTTCTCACCTTCAGTAGCAACAGCCTGAAATAGAATTAAATACGTAAATAATTAACTTTAAAAACAGCAATAGCACCTTGACCTATAGCTTTGATGATAGAGTAGTGTTAGGTGGAATGTAGACTACCATTAACATCAGGGTGCGAATCGTCCAGGTGTGGTGGGTGTCCCGGGCATTATCTAAAATTAGTAAAATCTTGAATGCAACTCCCTGTTGGACCTCATTAGGCTCGTGGAATAAAACAACTCAGGAACCAATCTCAAAACAAGTACTAGGGTCATCCATGCTTCTTATTATTGTGATAAAACACTGGCAGTGTGTGCTTGCTGACATGTTTAGCATTATGGGTTTCCTGATGATATATCGTGAAGGACTTTATCTTGAAACCAACCATCACAGAGTTAATTCTTGAATCCTTTTTCCTCCTCTTATTAATGCCTTGTCCTCAGCATCATTCTTCCAGAATACAGTTTTCCAATAAATATTATGAAGGCAACAAAGATTACACACTAATCTAACGTCCTAAAAGCCAGTAGATATGGTTCAATGGCAAAATGGTTGCTACCGTTTTTCCATTTTCATATTGCATTATTATCTTCATTTTCATCTCAAAAGTAAATGGCTGTCTCCTTTCTTCTGGGGCCCACCAGAACTCTCCATACTTCCAGTCATTCAAGGAATTGACCATCAGTACACATCTCGATCTCAATAAAGGCCAGCTACATGAGAATGCTATGGCATGGACGCTGTGCACCATAGCTGACCCACGCATAGCGCTCTCATTTGAGAATGAAAACGTTTAGGTCCTAGAAAATCATCAGGAGTTTGAAGGTACGTAAAATACGTGGGTGCAAATCGAGGACTACCTGTATGCAGGTATATATTAGGGGATCATAAGAGTTTCAACTAATCTGAAAAAGTTTTTGGCTGGCACCTCAATTCCTGGATAACTGGTTCTTCAATAAATTCTAGTATATCTGTACAGTATGTTCTTTTTCATCAATATTATTAGGTATTCTTAAGGGACTTTGTTTCTGAAGTGTAAATGGATAATGCTTCATAAGTGGAATATAGGTAGGATGACAACACTGGCTATTTAAATATCCAGGTTAGTGCTGAGGTGGAGTCACGATTTGAGACAAAGGGAGCCAGTCGCAGTATTGGTGATATTACTGCCTTGGATCTGCAGCTTCACCAACTGACCCAGCAGATCCAACTCTCTACCCAAGCACTCTCAGACACTCACTTGACTGAGAGAAATTCAGCCAGTCATGGGTCTGGAGCTCAGCAATGTCACCTACACAAGATAGTGGCAAAGTGCAGAGTTTTAGGTAAGTTTCTTCTTGTTATATCTTTGACCCTCATTATTGCGGTTATCTGTGGTTACCTAATTATGGCTCTTCCTTTTAAAGTTCTATATACTCTGGAGAAAAATCTGTGTCCCTCTAATATGAAGGCAATAAGAGCTGCCATCTTCTTGAGTTGGTAATGCAGATGGGATGCTGTCAGAGCAAACAAGCTTGTGACATCCTGCCTACATTGGTGCCTGGGGATATCAAGGACTGTCGCACCACTGGAAAATTGCTTTGGCCCACTTCTGAATTGACCACACACAGCTGATTCATGTTGATAACTACCTGGCCCCCATTGACTGTTCAATGCCTCCAGGTGGAGAGCCCAAGTCTCTGAGATCTTTGTCGTGAACACCTCTCCCAGTGCCGACAGGGAGGAGGAGAGATGGGTCTTACCCTCTCTTTTTGGTGCTGGAGTGGGGGGGTTAGCCTGGGAGGGTACGTGCTCTCCTTTGTGGAGGAAGAAAGCATTCTACACAAGCTTTTAAAATGGTTTTTACAAAAGTTCTGTGCTATTAATGTTTTTTTACCCTTACTATTTGATTTTAGTCTTCTAAGCTTTTAGTTTAATTTGGCGACATATGACCTAAGCTATTGCGTTGCCAGGGATGTAATTACCACAATCAATTAATCAACCATCTTCCCACAACAACGATAGTTGCTGGCACGGCTCCCTCCAAGTTAACAGATACCGCTGTTTGAACGAGTCATACTGAAAACAGTGATATCACTTCTTAGGCAAATTGTACCAGGATGGGCAACCTCCCTGAACAGATTCCATCATATTTCAGTTCCTCCAAGAGACCTATATTGTTACATATGATTATTCATAAACTAAAATGGCAGAGGTGAGAAATTTGCAGTGTAAATAAGTTGCAAAAATTCTCTTGCTTGTGTGTAGGTTACTCATGGCCACTTATTAAGGAGAGCAAATAACCCAGTACATTTTAAAAGAGTCCCCAATTGACCCTAGTCCTCCAAGAGGTGTCTCATAAAAGGTGGTCCTTCACGATTTCATGTCTTCAGATGGTCATCGTCATTGCACAAAATTATGAGTAATATCTTTATTCATGTGATGAGGTTTTTTTTCCATCAAATCTTATTATATTATATAATATATATATATATATATATATATATATATATATATATATATATATATATATATATATATATATATATATCATCTATTCATCTATCCATCTATCTATCTATCTATCCATCATCTATCTATCTATCTATCTATATCTATCTATCTATCTATCTATCTATCTATCTACCATATCTATCTATCTATCTATCTATCTATCATTCTATCTATCTATCTATATATATATATATATATATATATATATATATATATATATATATATATATATATATATATATATATATATATATATATATTCGCTAAGATTTGATAGTAATTAAGACTAATTTTCATATTGATAAATATTTTCATTGAATAATAGTTTACATTTGTCTTGTACTTTAAGAATACTGTACAGAGTATTATATTGAATCATTATCTTAAATTAAGACTTTTTTTTTAAAGATTTTAACTTTTCAACTGTACTATTGTACAGTGGTCCCTCGAAAAGAACACAATTGATTCCACAGAGTCGTTTGTTAACCGAAAAATTTGTTAACTGAATCTATTATTTCAATGGGATATTGGGTAATTAGTTCCAACTCACAGAAAAATTTCATACAAAGTAAAGCCCAGAAAATGCATAAAGTCAGAAACACTCCTAAAAATCCCCTAAATCACCTTTAAATCACTTTATACAGTATATACTGTACGTACATATACTGTACACTAGAACTCTTAAATCACTACTGTAATGTGATACAGGTGATTAATTTTAATCTCTTGTGCACAAAATATATGATGTTTATATTCAAGTTATTCACTGTCTTGCAAGGATTCCAGCAATGCAAATTATATTCTTCTAACTTTTATCTGTGATATTATATAAGATAAAAACTTTAAGCCTAAAACCTTGGCTGGGCATATGGGGAGAGGGAGGGGGTAGGTGAGGTGATATGTTTGACAGTTGGTGCTGAAGGTCTAGTGAAGTTTTTTTTTTTTATGTCCTTTAGATTGAGCTTTTGTTTTTTGCTTTTAAAATGTCTCAGAAGTGACCTGGGAGAATATAATTTCATTGCTGGAATTCTTATAAGATTGATCAATTTGAATATAAACATGTTATAGTTTGCACTAGAAAAAATCTTAGTAATTATTTGGTACATTATTTTGAGTACACCTACAGTACAGCTTTGCCCTTAGGACAGTGTGTACATGTAAATTAGTAAAAATTAATTAATAAAGTTACATACATTGAGCCAAAAATATTAGTTGAAAAACTTTATATGGACAGAGCTTGGATGGCTAAATTTTAGAATGACCAATAATTTTAATATAAAATAGGCAAAAATAATCAAGAACACAACTTTCTTGATATTTAATTCACTGGAAACGAATGTAAACATAGAACCGATTACTGTATTGGCGGACTAGCCAATCAGCTGATGCACACAACAAAGCGTGTTTCTCCTAAGGCTTTCGATAATTGAGTTTTTGTTCGTTAATGGAACTGAAAATCCTTAGCTAATTCGTTAACCGAAATTTCGTTAATTGAACCGTTGATAATCGAGGGACCACTGTATATTGTAAAGAAAGATAATGCTTTGAATACTTTTCAGGTTGTTATTAATAATATAAATTTGCTTGGTAATGAGGGCAGTGTAGTTGCTGAATTCTCTTCCCAAATTAAGTATGGTGATGATAACTCACCTCTAAGTTATCATCCTACTTTCTTACATAATACAGTACCATCATCATCTCCATTGTCTCTACCATGCAGGGAGTTTCTGTCAAGCATTCCATCTTCCCTGCGTGAGAGCCTGACGCGAAGACAGTCTCAGCAGAGAAGTGCCATTCAGTCACACTCAATGGGTAGCAAAATATTGTCCACCAGAGATCTAACGAAAAGTTATTATATTGTTGTTGATATTGCTGTAATGTCATTCAGCTTATCTTCTTACTGTTGAATTTTTTTTAAATCTTTAAGAGGGCAAATATACAGTACTGTATTTGTGAAAAGGTTCTCAACTAAGAACTTATATTAACCTCAGAGTCATGATTGAAACAGTAGTTCCACACAAGTAAAGATAAATGATGATGCTAATTTGTATTTCAGTAGTAAACATAGTGCCTGTGGATGTTAGGTTGCATTTTGTGCATGTACCATATCATCACGATGGCTGCAGAGGCAGTGTACAAAGTACTGTTGTAACTTGTGCAGCATGTTGTTCCTGTTCCCATTGCCTGAATTCACATTCATTGTAAGTATGATGTGCAAAACATTGAAATTAATGATGAGTGGAGTTTTCTTGCGTTATTTAAAATACTAAGGCAAGTTTAGAGCTTTATGGTGCTTTACATAAGGAGAGAATTTAAGTGAAAATATACTGGAACTTGTTATCTGTGAAGTATGTGAGTAGACGTGGCACTTTACAAGTGTCTTTCTTAATTCCAAACTTACAGGCAGGATTTAGGCAAGCAGCTGGATTAATTAAGTAGTTTGTTACTAAGTAAAGACAGATCAGGATTGTATATTAATCCTGCCATGTTTAAACCATATACAGAAGTACCTAATGCCCTACACTGAAAAAGTTGCCTCCTTATCCTTGTTGGGCATGTTGGATTATTACATGCCTTTTGCAAAGTAGTTTAAGATGAACTAAAGGTTTATTGGAAGGAGAATATGCTAGTGGAGCAGCTTTTGCATTTTTTACCCTAAAAAGGTGGCTATATTTACGTGTGCTATTCGGCAGGGACGGAATATATTTCGCTATATAGAAGCGAGCAAATGCTGAAGATAATGTTGTTCAAATACATTACATGTAGAATGCACCTTAAATGAGATTTTTTTTATTAGAAAGCTGAATCTTTTTTTCTACAAATTCATAATTAGTCAAGAAATACAGGTACTAGAAATAATAATTTCTTGGAGAAATCTTGAGTTGAACTGGACATACATGTTTTCCTGGCTCTGGGGTGAGCCACCAGCATCGTCATAGTAACCAGACAACAACATAGCCAGGAGTGCACCCAAACAATGGCGCAAAAACCTAAACATCATATGATGTTCGCAGCCCTTTAACCCTTATGCCCCGGGTGATGTACTAAGATGCCCGACTGGCGCGCCCCAGGTGACGTACTAAGATGCCCGACTGGCGCCCCAGGTGACGTACTAAGACGCCCCGACTAGCCGCCCAGGTGACGTACTAAGACGCCCGACTGGCGTGCCCCAGGTGACGATACTAAGACACCCGCTAGCATGCCCCAGGTGACGTACTAAGACGCACCATTTCCTGCCACTGTTTAAATGCCCAGCGCTGGTTATCGGGTTCCAGTGTGACTATTTGCCTGTCTCGCCACAGGGAAGCTTCCTGAACATAATTACTTACTTTTGTTTGTTTCATTTCCATTGTTTGTCAATTTTATCGTTGTATCAAAATAATATTGCTGAAAGTAGTGTAGTTGTATTGTAGTGTAGTATTACTGAAAATAATGCTATGATTATGTTATAAATGAATTTATTTGTGGAATTATTATTTTATTCATTACTTGCTCTTCCAAACACAAAGGCAGCCTGGAGACCGACTGTGTGTGTTGCCAAGTTTTTTTTATGAAAAATAATGCAAATAAAATATTCTATATGAATTATTTATAGAAAATAAGTTATATGATCAGTAAATATATGCATTATTGGCCATCTCAGACACAAAAGCAAGCTAAAAATAGCTGGTAAGTGACCACGAGCTCAGCTGTCAAAACACTGTCTCCTTATATCCCTCCCTACACCCTCCCTCAGTGCTGCCAGGGAAGTTTCTAGAGGGCCAATATATAGTTTTTCTTACTTATTTGTTATTGTTTTATCATTTAAAAAGGTTAAAATTATTTTTGGAAAAGTTTTGATTTTCTCGATTTACTCACGCTTGGGGGGTACTACCAGCAGCACCCTACCCCGGGCTTAAGGGTTAAGCAGTTGGCAGCGAAACTGCCACACACTTTTCAACTTGATCTATGTATTTTTCTAGTTATTTGAAAATAATAATAATAATAATAATAATAATGTTTTCAATGTTATATCATTGGAAATTTTGCACAATTTCTGTTAAGTAAAACAAATTGGCAGTTTTCTGGTTTCATAAAACTTAAGTCATCCTGTGTGGTCATCCTGCCCCAGGAGATCCTCCTCTCCACCCGTATCTTCTAGCATTTGTTTCTAGACTTCTACTATAATATTAAATAAGAAGGTTAGTGGAGAGCAATTTTATATGACCATGATATTGGTAGTGGGTCTCCTTGGCAGTTAATGTCTGTCATGAATGACTTTCAGAAGATTATCCCAAACAAAGCATTGTTCCAAGTAAGATTTGTTCAAGTTTATGAAAAATTTATTGGTTTAGTAAAAATAAGCAAAATGAAGTTATAGGTTAGTTATTGGTTGAAATTATATATTGCTCTAAAAGTCATACACAGTAAATATAATTTTTGAGATTAGTTAGTAAGATTTTGTACAGCAAGGATAGTGTTGTGTTGTATGTACTGTACACAAGTTTGGCACATACTGTAGGGTAAGTAGTGGCACCTTGTGACTTTCTGGTGCTGGGATATACATACAATTTGCCTTTCCAATGTGAACATGTATGCGAGTGTAAATATTTAACATAATAAATTATATTTAATATTTGCATAATAAATGTTTATATACTTAACATTTCTTAGCATTGTTGTACATTTAGGAATACAGTAAACCCTTGATTTCTATGGCAATTATATTCCTGAAGAACACTGTGAATGTCATATCGGCAGAATTTGGGGAAACTTGGATGCATTCCAGGACCTAGATTTCTACCACCCAGTATATTAAATCTAACAAAATAAACTGGAACTATCCAATTCTAGTGAGGATTTTGAGAGTGATGAACTGCCTGAAAACTCTGGCATACCCGGTATTGGTCAGAGGAAGGTTACTGCTGTGCTATGGTGGGTAGACTTTTTTTTTGGGGGGGGAGGGGGTTTGCTTGTTGCGTTGACTTGACTCTCATTTGTTCTCATTGCATTTACACCTACATTTGCTAGTAATTGTGCTGCAATATTATAATAATTGTCTCTTGTTTGTACACATTCAGTATAAACGGAAGAGAAAAAAAAATGTGTAAGTAATCCTGTACTGTAACTAAGATTCCTAGCAACTTGGTAAGTGGAGGAGGGAACCCTCCTCTTCAGACACACCACATTGATATATGATCTAGTCATTGGGCTGGGTTAAGTCACATCACTCCGTTTGGTCATTTACTGGTATGGCACGTCCTCCTACTGCCCAATAGCTAGGACAATCACAGCATGGGACGAATACAAAATTAAAAATTACAAGTAATTAATGTATTTAAATATTAAATTTTTTCTCCTGTATCTTTCATGATACAAAGAATTTTTCCACATAATTTAAGTTATCTGTACTGTGCAGTATTACACTTTTACTATAACTCCCAGCATCATCTTTTAGTGGAAAAGAAATAGGAATAATGATCTAGATTGGTTCAACCTGATGTATTGAAATTGCAAATATGGAGACTTAGTAAGTCGAGGGTTTACTGTATATGATTGAACACAGTGCAGGGTGACTAAAACAAGCATCGCTTCCCAGAATGAGCAATAATATTTTGTAGCTACTAATGAAAAGAGGTTTTATTTTACAATGTTTGCGTGTAAAGTCTAATCAGCAGTCTAGTGTCAGTGTACTGTACTGTACTGTACTTACTGGATAAAATCCAACACTAAAAATCATTGTGATACTCTCCGTCCATGCATATGCACATAAAACATACAGGACTTGAATTTTAAGGTTAATGCGTCAGTATTCAAAGTTGTATGAGCAAAGTTTGGGAAAAGTAAAAGGAACTTTTGTAATGTGTGAGCTAAAATGAATGAACTTCAGGTTGAAGTAAAGCTGGTGGTGGTACAGCAAAAACCTGATTTAACACAGTGATCGTATTTTAACTCCTTGAAATATTCTCTAAACTGCTATAGAAATTGCTTTTTGCACTAGTAATAGGAGTGAAGAGTCAACTTAAAAACTAAATGATCATAATGATGAACTGTTCAGCAAAGTTAACTTCACATGTAAAAAATAGAGGTAGGAGGTTATTTTCATATGCCTTGAAAATGTACGATCCCACCTACGATATTAGTTAAAAATAATGTATACCGTACTTGCTTTTACAGGTAGGCAAACATTCACATTTTACACTACCAACAATTAAATTAAGCTTATGAATGCTTTATAAATAAATAAATGAAATATATATATATATATATATATATATATATATATATATATATATATATATATATATATATATATATATATATATATATATATATATATATATATATATATATATATATATATATATATATATATATATATATATATATATATATATATATATATATATATATATATATATATATATATATATATATATATATATATATATATTTCATGTGTCCCAATGTGGATAAGATAATCTTGATAAATCCTGCAGAAACAACATGAACACCTTAGCTTCAAGTCTTTATCAAGACATCTTCGTTGTTTCCTTTTTCGTGTGATTAATATATATATATATATATATATATATATATATATATATATATATATATATATATATATATATATATATATATATATATATATATATATATATATATATATATATATATATATATATATATATATTCTCTCCTCGACTCACAGCGGGGTTCCGTCGACGACCAGGTAGTAAGTCGAAAAGGCAAAAATAATACATAGAAATTCTAAAATGGGTGTCTCTTTTCTTCTCAGCACCCACGAGAACTCTCACTTTTAAACGCCAGCCATTTTAAAGGGAATTACAAACAAAAATTTTGTCAGTATACGTGCAATATGATCACTAACGTCGGGACTCGAAAATCGTGCAATGTGAAAAATATTTTACTCGACCATGGCCGTCGTATGTCCGGGTTAATAAATAAGTCGAATATGTTGTAAGTCGATGAGAGACTGTACAAGCATACCCTGATAACTGACGTTTATAGGGATCATGAAAAGTCATTGGTTAGTGAATCAACGGTTATCGAAGCCACCAGCCACCACCCCCCCCAAAATAAAAAACAAGCATAATAAGCATTTAATAAGGAATGTAAAGCATAAATTGACTTATTTACCAGTGTTGAGAATGGTAGAGATGGTCTAGGGTGCCAAGTTCAAGTCTCTACCAATATATGCACTTATCACATCACATCAAGCTTCCTAAGAGGAGCAGCACATGAAAAACTATCACAGGGGCTTTTAGACATGATTGCAAAACACACGAAGTTGGAGACACATGGTAAATGTAAACAAGTGCAGAGAGGCGGGAACGAGTCGGAGGCAGCGTGCAGAGCCCTCTTGTGGCAAAAATTCACGCCACTCCACCGCCCGCTCCTCCCCTGATTGTCAGATCTCTGGTGCATCAACGAAACTTGAGGGGTATTTCCCCTACACTGTATGTAATCGGTGGTTAATGGGACGTCAGTTTTCGGTGTATACCTGTACTGTACGGTACTTCAAAAGGATATAAAAAAAAAAACGATAGAAAACACAGATAAAGTTGAGCAATGAAATAAGTATACTGAATAATGGTAAAATAAACACATTTCAAGCCACCTTATATATCTATTCAGTTATGAAAAAAAAGTCCTACGCTTTGATTTACGTGTGAATACTGTAACCGAGTTTACGAAGAAATCATTAGTTATATTGAAAATGTGCTGAAATAATAGTTTTTTTTTATTAGTTATGTTTAATAATTTCATTATTCTCCAATGCATTATGCTAGATTCAGGAAAGAATTTAGCATTACCAAACAAACAGTGTCAGACAAAGTGAAGCAAGAAAAGCGAGAATTTACCCTGAAGTTTGATGTGAATACTAAAAGTACACTATCCTCAAGATATAAGTGCTATAACTTCTAAAACAACCTTGAAAATAAAGGAAAGTGAATCAGAATGAGTTGTAAATAATGTAGTGTTTAGAATCAAATTTATTTGTATGTTTTTAATTTCTGTTTTTATGTGTGGCTGTGCTTTTGTACTCGATATAACAGGCTTTCAGGTCTATGAGACCTGAATAACCTGACTGTTAGAATGTAACTGTATAGACAAAAAACATTGGATTATGAATATTAAATTATTAACGGTTCAGTATACTGTATATATATTACTCGGTAAACCCTTGATAACTCATAATTCAATATAACTCGGAATGGCAGTAAAACATTGAACTCTACTGTATACTGTATTATATTTGAATTATTTTTTTACACAAATTTTTTTATTGTTATTTTTTTACATAACTCGCAATATTCGGAGATATGATGATGCTATTTCGGAATGGCATAACATGCAGGATGCTTGGAAGGCTCTGCCCAGTCAGTCACTCAGTTATATGCCAGTAGGCCTAGTGAGAGGCTACCTACCCGCAGTAGATTTACTGTACTTATATTCACATATTTTGCGCAAAGTGATTTTCCACCTGTATTGAAAATTTAATCAGGACGAATACATGTACAGTAGCCCCATATATTCAAAGTATCAAAGGACAGTACAGTATGTTATATGACCCCATTGTAAGCTGATTTGCTGAAATCAATCTCTCTCTCAGAGAACATCTTGAGCTTTCAAGGGGGTATTACTGTCCAGTACATGTTGGAATGCATATACTGTAATGTTTTCTTAATTACTGTACTTTAATTCTAATGGTGAAAAGCTCATCATAAAGTATTACACTCCAACTTTTCCAGCATCTTCGTGGTGTAGATTAATATAATCCTTTTCTTTTCTATTTTAATTTCTTTACTCTTAGTTTTTACCCTAGGCCCCATTGTGGGTCGATGACCTGTGTCCGGGTTGGCTATTCCCCACAAAAAGACATATAATGAAGATCCCTAGTTCCTTTTGGCGCAAACCGATTGTTTTTTTAATTTATATATATATATATATATATATATATATATATATATATATATATATATATATATATATATATATATATATATATATTTTTTTTTTTTTATTGGGGTTTTCTTTTAGATAGTTTTTTTCATGAACAGATTCCATTTTTTTTTAGGTACTGTACCATAAAAATAATATTTGGGTTTTCTTGTCAATAGGGAAGTGAACCCTATTTTTCCCATTTCTTCTATTATTTCCTATACAAATGGTTTTCAAGGAACCTAACCTATATAGATAAAAAGGGATACCTGTACCTGGAGCTAATTAAAAGGTGTAGCTTTTGTTCTGCCAATGCCACTATTTATATTTTATTTGTGTTTACCACTGTATTTTAGGGGCCACATAAAATAACAGAGAACTTCAACAACAGATACTGATAACATACATCTTAGTAATATTGAAATAATTATTAGAGAATGTTGATTTAAGAAAAATTTCTAATTCAAAATTTAAATGGCTGCAAATTTTACAATACACTACTCTGAAATCTTTAGAAATCAGCATATGATCATTCTGTTTCATAGAAAATATATGTACAGTGTATGAATAAGTGGTATTTGTGTTAATAACCACTGAGAACAAATTGTTCTGTAGGTGTATAAATTCTGAAATATGGTAATATTGGTGCAATAACTGGAAATTTGGTGCAGAAAGTTTTGTTCGTGTATGAATTTTGAGGCTTGTGCTGTGTTATATCTTACTTTAAGCAAAAGTTTAACTTTTAAAGAAAAGTACATAAAATCTGGAACAATTTTATTGCTATCAATGATGCTTCAATGAAAGTGTAATATAGGATAAGGAAGTGTGTATACAAAGCTAAAATTACTGTGATATGTGTATATGAATAGTAAAAAAAATTACATTGATGACTGACAACTAGTATCATCAACTATACAGTATAAGGTTGTTTTCATGCATCTTGCTACTCAGAAACAGAAGTTAGATATAAAAGGCATAATTATTACAAATTTCTTTCTAAGTTTGTGTAACCCATTTGTTTAGAAAATTGTATTGTTGGGTGTATTTGTCAAAACTGATTGTTATATATATATATATATATATATATATATATATATATATATATATATATATATATATATATATATATATATATATATATATATATATATATATATATATATATATATATATATATATATATATATATAATAATTTTTTATGAATGTGATATAAAACCATCATTTCAGTTGGCAAAGAGTTTACTTAAAAAATATGGGAAAATAGACATTCTGTAATCAAAATGCATTTATCTCCTATACACATCCTGGCAGCATAAAGACTTCTATCCACTGATATCTAAGAAGGTCTCTCCC